TGTGAGATAAAGAGGTGACTCAAGACAACCAGCATGGCTTCACCAAAGGCAGATCATGCCTGACCAATCTGGTGGCCTTCTATGATAGAGTGACAGCTTCGGTGGATGGGGGAAGGGCAATGAATGTAATCTACCTGGACTTCTGCAAGGCCTTTGACATGGTCCCTCACCACATCCTTCTCTCTAAATTGGAGAGGTGTGGATTTGAAGGATGGACTGTTCAATAGATTAGGAATTGGCTGGCTGGACACAGCCAAACAGTTGCGCTTAATGGTTCTGTGTCAGGGTGGAGGCCGGTCACAAGCAGTGTTCCTCAGGGGTCGGTCTTGGGACCGGTGCTCTTCAACATCTTCATCAATGACACAGACGATGGCAGTGAATGCACCGTCAGAAGGTTTGCAGACGACACCAAGCTGAGCGATGCAGCAATACACTGGAAGGAAGGGAAGCCATCCAGAGGGACGTGGGCAGGCTGGAGAAATGGGCCCATGAAAATCTAATGAGGTTCAATAAGGCCAAGTGCAAGGTGCTGCACTTGGGTCGGGGCAATCACAAGTACTTACAGAAACTGGGGGAAGATCTCCTTGAGAACAGCCCTGCGGAGAAGGACTTGGGGGTCCTGGTGGATGAGAAGCTGGACATGAGCCAGTAGTGTGCACTTGCAGCCCAGAATGGCTTACAGCCAACTATGTTCTGGGCTGCTTTAAAGGAGGAGTGCGAGAGTGGGAGAGGGAGGTGATTGTCCCCCTCTACTCGGCTCTTGTGGGACCCCATCTGGAATACTGCATCAAGGCCTGGGGTCTGCAGTACAGGAAGGTCATGGAGCTCTTGGAGCGGGTTCAGAGGAGGGCCACTAAGATAATCAGAGGGCTGGAGCACCTATCCTGTGAGGAAACGTTGAGGGAACTGGGCTTGTTTAGCTTCGAGAAGAGAAGGCTATGAGGAGACTTCATTTTGGCCTTACAATACTTGAAGGGAGCATATAAACAGGAGAGGTATAACTGTTTGTATGGGTGAATAGTGATAGGACAAAGGGAAATGGTTTTAAACTAAGACAGGGGAGGTTTAGGTTAGAAATTAGGAGAAAATTTTTCACACAGAGGTTCGTAACACAGTGGAACAGGTTGCCCAAGGATGCCCCATCCCTGAAGGCATTCAAGGTCAGGCTGGATGTGGCTCTGGGGAGACTAAGTCCAATGGTTGGAAGCCCTACCTCTGGCAGGGGGTTTGAAACTAGATGACCATTATTGTACTCTTCAACCCAGGCCATTTGATGATTCTATGATTTTTCTTCACTCAACTGTGAGCTGAGAAGATAATTATTTATGATGGAATGTTCAATTGTTTCTGTCTTCCTTGGGAAATCCATGCAAGATGCAAACGAGTGTCAATTTAGATATTGTTTTTATTGCTTTATTGTCCATAATTTTAAAATACCTATTTTGTAGGGGCTAATTTAACCAATCTTTTTATTATTATTTCATTGTATAACTCCAGAAATATTTTGCCTGTGTTGCTGGTTCAGTACATTCTTAATCTAGTATTATGTGTTATCATAGAATCTTATCATAGAATCACAGAATGGCTTGGGTTAGAAGGGACCTTAAAGCCCACTCAGTTCCAAACTCATGCCACAGGCAGGGTTGCCACCCACCAGCTCAGGCTCCCAGGGCCCCATACACCCTGGCCTTGAATACCTCCAGGGGTGGGGAACCCACAGGTTCTCTGGATAGCCTGTTCCAGTGCTTCAGCACTCTCACAGTGAAAAACTTTCCCCTAACATCTAATCTAAGTCTCCCCTCTTTTAGTTTATAAACATTCCCTCTTGTGCTATCACTGTCAGACCATGCAAAAATTCAGTATCCCTTTTGTTTGTAACCTTTTAAGTACTGGAAGGCTGCAATGAGGTCTCCCAGGAGCCCTTCCTTTACAAATTGAGCCCATCTCCCTTAACCTTCACTTTCCCACACTGTATCTTATTTTTAGGAAGCCTCTGACCAGATTTCCTCTAAGGTAGCACACAGTCTCAATTCACATTTTTTGAGTGTTTGAAGATAATAAAACATACACATCTGCTATTTTTTTTCCAAACAAATCTAATTTTGATCTGTTAATGACTCTGAGTTTTGAATGGCTATAAATCATAGTATATTTGAGTCCATGGTGCTGTTTTAGTACTACTACTATTATCATTTATTTGATAGTTTGATTGATTGTTTTGGTTAGGTTTTACATCCATTAGATCTGGATCTTCTAGAAAATGCCTAGTAAATTAGTACACTTATTTTTCAAACAAACTGGCCAGAGCAAATGTCACTAACAGTTTAATGGTGATGACATCCAAAATAGTTTTTGCTTTTGAAAAATGTGAATAAAAGAGGAATTTCTCCATGTCTATGAAATGCTATGGTGGCATGAATGCATAGGTGGCACTCTGCTTACTGGTGTTTGTTTCCCAGAAGGACGTTTCCTTCAGATTTTTTGAGCACATCTGAAGGATGTGCTAGTAAATTCAGTTACTAGAAGTAGCAGTTTCTTTAGCAAATAAAATTTTGTCTGCTGCTTTTCTCTGCTCCATTCCTTTTAAGATATCACTCCTCCAAACAGTTTCACACCAGACAATGTTTCTGTTTACATATGTGCTCCAGGATGGAAGCTGACATCAAAAATGCTCAAAAATCATCTAGATTATAAACTTAAAATCTGCATTGCTTCTTCACTGCCTCAATGGAAGCGCAACTGTGTATTTCTTATGTTAGAAGGGAAGAAAACTTGTTAATATGTTCATTTATATCCCAGGATGCTCAATATATTGACCAGTTGAAGTAATCTGATTTCTTTCATTTCCTTGATTGTTAATGTGACCTTTGATCATTCCTGTCTTCAAATGCCGGCAAGTTTTATACAAATGCCAGAATTATACTCTGCATCTAAAATAATGAAATAAATGTTAGAAAAAATAAATGCTTCCTCTGTCTCTATGGGATAACCAAGGCTTTGTTATTTGCATGGTTTACTTGTCACAGGAGAGGAGATGTAGAGATTGGAGACAGACGACAGTCCTGCTTATCTCCCCTCTGGCTGCTGCTACACTCCTCTCTCCTAGGCAAAAGGGATCTATTACTTTTGAGAGGGAAGAAGTCATTCAGTGAAAGCCAGTGAGTTCTAGAAGAGTGGGTGAGGGTGGTACAGGGAAGGACATATGCAGGGATTCCAGCATCATTCCCTATTAATTTTATTCTACATTTCTAAATGTTTGGGGAAAGGAAGGGAGGGAAGATATTGGAGATAAGGTGGAAGGAAAGTGGAAAAACCTAACCTCTCAACTGCTTCAGATTCAGTCCTAATTCTGAAATTAGATCAGCATATTTGTTGCTATGATTAAACCTATTTGGTACAATAAATGCAAGACATTCAGATACCTCCACTTACTGCTATCTCTAACCAGAGCTCAAAAAAAAATTAAAAAATTAAAAAACAAACAAACAAACAAAAACCACCAAAAACTCCACACAAAACCAGCACCTTAGGGTTTGGAGAAATAACTCCTTAAATAGAAAACAGTTTCTATTTACTTCTTCCTCACACAAATTCTAACATGCTGAAAGTATTAAGTATGTTAAGCGTTCACACCCTGCAAAACACTGAAGAACTGATGTTACAAGAATATTATCAAAACATTCCTATTTTCTAAGTAAGTGTCTATTAAAAGTCCAGAAAAGCTGAACCAAATTATACCGGTTCCCATGTGAAATCCATATCCACCATAGGCATGGATAAATTTTTGAGATTTTCATGGTTAGTTAGGTATTTGGTATCTTTTCCCTCACAATTTCATTTCAGAAATATAACATTCAAATAGCACATTAACAGAAATGAATGAGCCTGAAGCATCATAAAGAAAAGGATCTCAATGGTCCTTTATCATTTTAATAGCATGTACCCATGTTCAAACTGTGTTTAGGACCTTGTGACCTCACGCAGCCTCACACAGTAAATATTAGAAAACATGTCTTTTTAACAAGATATAAATTAAAAGACACTTGCATGGTGGCCTTAAGCGAAATTGAGACAAATCTTAAATTTTATGAGTAATAATTCAAGTTATAAAAATTCACCAGTAGCATCTGGAAAAATATAAATATATCTGTTGGATTTACATCTGATTTTACTAAAAAGAAACTACCATAGGTCACAAGCTCCTCAAAATTTGAACAACAATAAGTTAACACCTAGTTAAAAACAACAGTTCCTCTCCATTTGAAAAATTCAGATCATGTCATAGCAATAAAATATATAGTTTGAGTTTAGTTTTAAACATGGGCATATACTGGGATGATTATTTTCTATGCAAAGTTTGTAATTTCAGCTAAGAATTTCAAAAAGATACTACTAGTATTGGCACAATACAATATTTTGATAATGGAAATACAGAAGTACAGAAAAAAATAGAACTTTCAAAACCAGTCAGTTTGAAATTACAGATTTCATTATATTATGACCAGCAGTAAACCCACAAAAAATTAAGCTGATGTAAACTTTTCCAGATGCTACCAGGACAACTTTTTGAGTATAAACTTCAGAAAGGACATTTCTATAGACACATTTTTATAGTTTGACTTTGAGCTACAGACAGTTTTGTCTTTTGAAAATCAGAATTATCTGTAGTTTAATTTGTTTCCCATTACAGTTTCAGATTTCTTCTTCATCCATAAAATTAACTGCAGTGAACTTCCAGGAGTAAAAAGCTGTCTTTTTTCAGGCTTGAATAAGAGGAGAAATAGTCACTTGTCCTGAAAGCTGGCTACAATTAAACATATTGAACACAAATTAAAAGCTGTAAATGTAAGACTTTGGGTACTTTGCTGTGATCCTTTGTTATAGAAATACTGTATTATATGATAAACAATCAATATGCACCTTCATTTGGCTATAAAATGTTTTAAATTTTATTTAAGTAGACAATAAATAAAAATAAAATAGGAAAGTACAGTATTTACCTTTTCCAACTGGGCATTTTTTTTGGATTTGTACAAAAACTCCCCAACTGCCACGAAGACAGAAAGCACCAATCCTGCTGCCAGGACAATAAAGATTCCTCCAATATTTTGGACTCCCAAAGCACTGGCCTCTTTGCTTTCCTCCTCTGGGCAGCCATTGCCTCTCCACCATTTCTCTTTCATCATGTGAAGTTTTCCTTCCTCTTGCAGCTGTAGAATTGCTATAGTGATCTTGTCTCTATATGGGGAACCTAAAAAGATCACAGAGATCATACACTGTGGCATATATTTTAAAGAAATTTACTTTTGATAAGAATAAAAGAAATGCAGTGCTACAGAACAAAAGATAATATCCTCTTCTTTACAGATAATAACACTTATGAGACAGCCATGTACATCTAAGTCTAATCACTCTGGTCATACAAATGCAAAACTGCATGCACATATGAGTATATATGCGCAAAACTTGATCCAAAACAGGTGTTTCCTGTAAGCCAGAAAAATACTGATGAAGTAAGTCCTACCACATTCAAGCCTATGATCTATTAGACTATTAAATCCAGTCAAAGAGTAATATTATAAATAAATAAATAAATGAATGAATGAATGAATGAATGAATGAATGAATGAATGAATGAATGAATGAATGGATGAATGAATAAAACAGGCTTTTGATTATGCTGCAGTATATATTCTTTAATACAAACCTATAGGCTGTTGCTTTAGTTTGCTACCCTAAAGCTAATCAAAAGATCCAAAGTCTGATACCTAACAAACACTTTATATTATCATTATTTTATTATAAAATATAGAAACATCAGCTTATGCTTCCGGACAAGGCCGCAAAGGTCTATTTGATAGATTGTCAGACATGATATCATCTAAATACTTATTAGCACTGCCAGGAAGCAAGCAGCTCATTCAGAAAGATAAAGTGTCTGAATAACAAGGATGTAAATTTTCATATTTTTAATGTAGGCTACTTCTTTCTCATAATCTAATATTTTAATAAGATGTGAAAATTTTGCTGCTTTAAAACATTTCAGTATTTCAAAGAGCAGTTCACAGAGTAGTGTCGTATCTTCATATGTCATCTGCTCTCCTTTATACAGCGCACAGGATTTTTCAATGAGTACTTTAAAATCTACATTAATTACTGAATAATATCACTGGAAAAAGCTTTACTATTCTGAATGTTAGAGAGTAAATCATATCAGTTAGAAATGATTTTTCTGTGCTAAGATTTATGCAATGTTTAAGGAAACAACAAAGCCATCATTTTTCTTCTCCTCCTTCAAAAACAAGAAAAAAAGACTTCCCACTAAATTGGATAAGAAATCCCAGGGGAAGGAGGGGGTGGATAATAATAATAAATAAATAGAATAAAATAAAATAAAGATTAGATGAAAAATCATGGCACCCCCTTTTTTCATATGTCATGAATGCAGTTCTACAAAGAATTCCTCATCTCTTCCTGTCATAACAGTGTTACTGATTCACTATCATTTTTACAGTGTTTCCTTTGGATGAATAATACAAAGTGTTTTCATTCATTTGATACCTTTAAAAAATTCTCAGAATCCTTTTAGATAGATAATACTGAGACATTTCACTATTTCATATATATTCGTTAATTCTGAAAGAGCTGAATGAAAACATTCATAGAATATTTTGTACTTTTAGATTCTGATAAATATGGTATTGGGGGGGGGATTTTTTCTCTTTTCACAAAGTACTCAATTTATTACTGCATATTTAGAACTTGTCATGAGAATATATCTAACTGCAAAAAATTGTTGAGGCAGCATGGAAATAAAACACTGAAAGACCATTCATTACAAAATATTATGGGCTTTTCCTTAATTTCAAAATAAAAGGTAGGAAGGTCTCAAAGGCCTCAAAGTAAAGTTGCAAGAATTTGAGTTTTTATAATCTCTGCTTAGAAAAAAGGAACATTCTATGCTAGGAGCTACATTATGTTTACACAGGACTATAAGGAAGCAGAGAGAAGGAAAAACAAACTCCTTTGTGCTTTCTTGTGCACACAGGATCCTATGTTATACAGTTTCAGACACCTTGATTGTTCTGAAACTCTGTAAAACCCTACTCTTGACACTTGTCTTTATACAGATCAAAGAAGGAAAGTGATTTGTTCACAAGAGCCCAAGGAGTACTACACATCCTACAAATATTTAACAAGAGTACAACTTAAATAACACTAGCTTCTGAGAGATAATTTTGAACTCAGTTTAAACCATATCCTGATCTGATAAGATACTTCTTAGTTAAACTGATTTGCATTAGGTTTCCACTCTCTTGTTTTCAGTATATAGGTACTACCATCTATTTTTCATGTATTTATGCATTCTGAGTCCCAGTTTTGGAAAAATACAAATTCTAGTCCTTTCTAAGTACTTAAAAATGAACTAACAGAGGAATTCATAATCAGAAATCATAAAGCACAGGATAATCCTGTCTACAATTAGCTAAGTTTATAAGGATTATTTTTAAAACATGCATCTGAATAGTGACTCAGTTCAACAACTTTTGCATCACTTTCTGTTGGCGATTTGCAAAAATTTAGACAAATATTTGGGTAGTCAACAGATTACAAGGTTTTCTTACAGCAGTATTTGCATTTGGTGCATTTGGCTCATCTTAAAAATAGTAATATTATAAGTAAGAATTAATTTTGGATACGCAACATGATATACTGATTATGTTGTTAAATATTTTAAATATTCTACCTTTGAAAAAAACTAGCATGCATTCATTTTTACAATTCCATTCTTTTACTAAAAGATTCACAATTATATAAATGCATTGATTCTCATTTTACAACAGTCTAGGTTAGGTCTATTAAACCTAGACAGCTGATATTTGGAAAAAGTAAACTCAGAAGACCCTGAAATGGCTAAAAGTTTCATGGTCTGATCAGTGGATGAGAATATGTACGAAGCATCCACATTACATATTTAAAACTGCAGTTTTCCTTGCAGAAATGAAACATGTCTACAAGCAAAAATCAAATGTTCTGTAATTTTATTGGTAATTTTCACCATTGTTCCTATCACAAGTGAAAGATGAATTAAACCATTTCATGAAGTATTGCATGAAGGTCATGTCCTGCTTGTGTGTTTTTAATGCAAAATACTTCACTGAAGAGACTTCAGTGTTCAGAGAGAAAAAATAAAATGTAAAAATAAAGATAAAAATAAAAACAGAAACTGGTATACTCCTTGACAAATGCATATGTAGATACGTGAAAAATAAATATAGTATCTGGAAGAATGGAAGAATGGAGTAATAAAGCAGAAATTACAAAAAATAAATTAATTAAATGAGAGTAAAATCTCAGATTCAAAGAAAGCACAAGTAATGTTAATTTTCATGTACAGAAATGCGAACCTCATGTCAATTAAATGACTTACTGTTGAAAAAAATCTTACTAATTTGTGCATGGAGAATTACTTGGGCATGGACAGGAAGCAGCCATACAGACACCAAGATATTTAAAACTACATCCTAACCTCAAGAAAAAAGATAAAATACAATTTTCCATTGACTGTGTAAGAAAAAGAGAAGCTGTATGGAAATATCAGGCTTATTCTTTCCCTTCTTCCCCAGGTTTTCTTTCTTCTTTTCTCTATTGACTCCAATGAACCATCCCCATGATAAACTAGCATTAGTGGGACTACAGGGAAAATTATACAATATTTGCTGGACTCACTTTAGTTACAGTCTATAGGAGTGAGAATTTCTGCTGGAAGAATTTTAATACGCTCTCTCTATTTACACAGTTTATGGAGACCTTAATACCTGTCATCGACAAAATGAATGAGGAATACAATAATTTGTAATAACTTGAAAATTTTAAATGTAAATGAAAATGTGTATAAAATTCTGTCTGAAGTATCTATACCAAGCTAAGATAACAAAGTCTCAGAAATACTGAAGTTATATTTAGATAACTTTGCTTCCCTGAAGTCACAGCACATAAAGATTTATGCACATAGTTAGATATTTAGTCACGACTTATGAACACATAATTTTGATATATTGAGACTTCACTGTATATAGATTAATATATTAGAATCTTGCTGAATTGGCTGATCTTTGGAATACTTCTTACTAGGTTATAATTTAATTAAATCTTCTGACTATTTATTTATTTATTTATTTCCAATTACAGGTAAAAGGATTTGGAACTGGGACTTACAGAACTGAATTTGGCCCAAAACAAATAAAAAGGAATGGTAGCACTTCACAAACTCATTAAAAACTGTTGAAACAGGAACTTGTTTGTTTCATTGTTCTAGGTGAATTTTATAATGAGAAATCGCTGTAAATTGTTTGATATTTGAAATTTGAAAGTTTGTGCCCATGTGACTTACTTACATATTAATTTTCATTTACTAGACAGAAAAATCCAATTTGACGAGTTCTATATCATTTATAGCCTCTTTTGTTGCTGCTGTATTTCCCTTGTTATTATAAACAAGACTAACTGTTTTATCTTGTAACATTATTTAATGTTCTATTTTTTCTTTGTCTAAGCAAGAAGAAATTACCTAGGAATATACTATCATAATCAGTAGCTTGTTTATTTTCATCATGAACTGAATAGATGCTTAGCCTATGAAGAACCACAGAAAAACTCCTTCCTGATGCAGGGCCTCATGTATCACCAGCCCTGAAACACATTCCAGGAATATGTAGCGTACTCAGCACTCAGTAATAAAGGCTGTCAGCCAAATTTACAACATGCTATAGGAGCGATTCCTCTCCTATGCAGCTCAGGGGCAGTGGGTATAGTAGAAGCACTTTAGCTCCACAGAACTGTTTTTATTTTGAAAGTCACAGGCAGTTTTTCTCTCTAGCACAAAATCCTCTCTAACTGGCATGAAAGAGAAGTAATAAAGAAGAGTCAGCACAGTTTGGTTTGTCCCTCCTGCCTGTGGATTCAGAAGTTACCAATCAACATCTGAAGAAAGTGAGCAATTATGACAATTCACAGCTCCTGGATCCACTATAAAAATCAAGTAATTTTCCCATTCTTTGGGATCACTGAATACTATTTCCATATTATGGAGTAAAATACTACTGCAATAGTTGTGTATTTGATGGACTGAAATTCTTTGGCAGTAATAGAAAACAAGCAGCACATGACAAGTGAAGCAATGAATCAAAAGAAAACGTAGTATTTCCTGCAAACTCGAAAAGGGAGAAGATCCTTCTTTATCTCAATTTC